ACCTTATCTGGATAAAGTCAGCAAGTATACGTGCAAAATTTTTTTTATAATTAGCTGTTCTCTGAAAAATCTTAGCTTACTAATGTTCAACTCAAAAGGGAAAAGCTATATGCAAACACTGCCGTCAATTTGCAGCACCATCGTCACCAATTAAAAGTTGTTTGAAAGATAAAAAATTTTGCGCAATTTTCCAACCGAAGCAATTGCAATCGTTCTGATCAAGAAGCTATGCAGGCAAACGTAGTGAGCGCGCGGAATACATGAATCAAAAGCATGAGTTAATCTTTATTCGTTGAATTAATTTCAAAAAATTGATATAAAGCCACAAATAATGCTGGCAATATAATTTGGAAAAGAGAACGTAAAGCAGAAATTGTAAAGCAACTAAAGCCAACAAATAAAAAACCCCTATTTCTTAGTTTACTTTAAAAAAACAGTACAGTTTGTCTTGAAAACCAGCAAAGAATCATTTTACCTGCATCTGCCTTCAGCTGTTTTGATGGATCTTTGAGATCTTCAGATTTTTTCATCTCAAGTTCCATTTTTTTTTGTGCTGCAAGTGTCCATAGGTCCATCTTAAAAGCCTTGAAAATCAGATCACTTGAATAATAAAATTATGTAGTTATTCGGTCGCAATTATCCAAGAAGTTTTCTGTCGTTGAGCCTCCAGTCTGCTGCCAAACTGAGGGTTTCCTATGTGAAACATTAGTTTCCATGGTTACCTAATTTCCTGTATTACGCTTTCGTGTAAAATACCAGCCACTAGGAAGAAACGAACAAACGACTGAGACTAACGTAAAGCAGAATTCTTAACAGGGTACACGGAATAAGACTGAAAAAAAAGTAGATAATTATAGAGAATTAGTCAGATCACTACTAAACCATACTTGCAGGAAACTTCATGCACCCAAATTGTAAAGCAACTTAAATATGCTTTTATCACCAGTGACCCAGTCGATCTAAAGACGCTTCACTTGTCTGATATCATAAAACAGTAATAGCGAAAATTTAAATCATATTTATTTGAAAAACATGGCGTTAATAATTGAAAAAATCAAATAAAGTGCTTCTTCAAAAATATTACTCAGAATTGTTTAATTTTTATACAACAACAAAATGACACTAATACTAGCGTTCACTTAAACCATTATTACTGTCATCATTGTACTCCTGCCCTTATTCTTATTCTTATCTTTATTCTGTATTTTGTATTCTTATTCTTATTTTTATTTTTGTTTTTATTCTTATTCTTATTCTTATTCTTATCTTTATTCTTATCTCTATTCTTATTCTTATTCTTATTCTTATTACCCTTGTTTCTATTATTATTATTATTATTATTATTATTATTATT